TGTGATTTACACATAAAAGACCTTCTGTAGATATTAGGCCAATGAGTAAAAGCTTGACTAGAATACAGATCTTTGACTCCTCGTTCAGTGCTCTTTCCTGGATCCAGCATAGGCAGAGAGCTGAATCTGACTGAGGACAGTCTTGATTGAGGATCTTAAGCCACAAAAAGCTGAACTCTGAAACAAGCAGCATTTTTTGGCTTCTCTTAATTTTCTACCTTTACTACAATGGGCATGCTCTGGTTTCATAATCAGAAATATACACTGAAAACAAGTTGAAGGGCAAAATGCATCATTTTGAGAGGCCTGGGGCTTATAGAATGAGCCCTGAGTTAACTTGACAATTGTTCTGGGCCCCCTTTCCTAGTACTTGTAAGATCCTCTGATCCAGCCTCACCAGTGACCAGGCCCCAGCTCTATGTTTGTGAGCTTTCAAGAACTTGGACGGTAAGAGGAAGCAGGCCTGGGATGGGGGCAGGTAGGTGAGGAGCCAGGAGGAATTCCAGATGTCCCTGTAGAATCAGTACTAGACTTCAAGCCACAGGGTCAGCAGTTCAAACCCACCCACCAGCTGTTCCTCGGAACCAATTCAACAGCACTTAACAACTGAGGCTGCAATCAGCAGGGACAGATGAAGGAGGCTCCAAGCAGGGGTGGCCACATGCATTTTGTTAAGTTCTTCCCATCTCCGATACCCTCCTGTTCCTCCTAGGCCTGTGACCAATGAACTCAAGTCCCTGTTCCTGTGGCCTGGTGCCCCCAGCTTCCTCTCTTACCCCTCACTCAGTGTCTGAGGCCCTAACTTAAGCTATTGCCAACTTGTTCCCTAAGTGCCTACTAAAACACCAGCTGCCCCTAGGTCTCAGCAAGAATTAAATCCCATTTCAAAAACATTTATTGCTCCCCTACCATGCAGTCCTGATGTGGTGCTACAGAATAAGCACTTGATTGCTAACCACAAGGTTGGCGGTTCAAATAGGGTAGCTATGCATTGGAACCGACTGAATGGCACTTAACAATAAACTATCTGTTGAAGATGAACTGATGCATCTGAATTATAGTGCTGGTGAAGAATGCTGAATATACCACAGGCTGTGAGAAGGAACCAATCTGTCTTGGAAGCATAGGCAGAAGGCTCCTTAGAATGGAGGATGGCAAAACTTTGTCCCTCAGGGGGACAATGACTGACAGTCTAGGGGGTTAGGGTGTGGTGTTTGGAACAGTAGCTCAGGAGCTGGTGCGTGAAGGTGGAGCAGGAATTGGAAAGGTCCGAGGCTTGCAAAATTCTGAGCAAATAGCCAATTTGGTGAGACTGGAGCAGGAAGTGGGGGAGGGGTGTGAAGTGAGGACAGGAAGGGGAGGCTGAAGGTAGATTATGGCCAGTTGGTCATAATAAGGACCTTTGTGTCTGCTGAGAAACATGGATTTTATGAGACATGGAGTAGGTGTCATGGAAGGTATACCAGTACTCTAATGCTTTTATCAGAGAAATACCACCCGTAGATAGAAGCCTTCAACAAACAGAAATTTATTTTCTCAGTTAGGAGGCTAGAAGTCCAAATTCAGCACACGGATTCTGGAAAGGGGTCCTGGGCTTCTCTTCACACCTGCAGGCTCAGCATTCCTTAGACATCACCATATGTGTTAGCATCACTCTTTCCCTAGCTCTAGGAGCTTCACAATGCAGGGACGCCAGGGACCCCACTCCACACTCCCGGCTCTTCTTTCTTAGTGGTAGTAGATACCTGCTTCTCTGCTCACTTCTCTCACTTTTTATCTCCTGGAAGATAAAAGATATTGCAGGTCATACCTCTGAGGAAACTTCTTTCAATTGATTAGCTGCTCATAGCAGATCTCATCAAGGAAGTGACTACATCATATTGTTGTTGTTAGGGACCCCATGCCCAACAGAATGAAACGCTGCCCAGCTCTGCAACCATCCTCACAAGTGTCGTTTGCTTGAGCCCACTGTTGCTACCACTGTACCAGTCCATCTTGTTGGGGGTCTTCCTCTTTTTCACTGACCCTCCACTTTACCAAGCATGATGTCCTTCTCCAGGGACCAGTCCCTCCTGACAACATGTCCAAAGCAGGTGTCCCACTGTGGGACAAAGATGAGGCTTTCCGCTCCTGTTAAGATTTACAGCCTCAGAAACCCTACACAGGGTCACTATGAGTCGTAACTGACTGGACACCATACCACCACCACCAAAGCCATGGTTAGATCCAGCTACAGAATTTGCAGGGACCAATACAAAGTGAAAATGCAAAGTCCCTGGTCCAAAAATTACTAAGACTTACAAGATAGTGATAGGGAGTCTCTTCTAAGTGCGTGGGGAGAGTGTGTATTGGGGGGCTGTCCAGAAGCCTAATTTACATGCCCATGATGGGCCATGGGACTGGAAAGGGCATATCAGTAGAGAGATCAGAAGGCAGAGTCCCAGGTCTTGGTGAACTGTTAGATATGGGGAGAGGGAGCAATGCAACTGCTGGGCTTTCCTTCTGTGACTGGTTGCTGGGCAACCCTACTGGTTCCTGGGTACCCTCCTTCAGTGGCCCAGTAACAATTCTAATTTATTGATGTCTCAAAGGCCCTCCTTCTTATTGCAGTCCACTCAGATTATTCCTGTAGTGTCCCCTGGCCCTACCATTCACTCTGTCACTCTAACTAAAAACCCTGGAGTCTCTCTCCACTCCCCTCTCTCCATCCCACCCCTTCCGGCAACTTACTTCCTAAATGTTCCTCCCATCAGTGTCTTCATCCGTGCTGTCAGTGCCAAGTTCCGGCAGGCAGGCCCTTATCAGCTTTAGTCTGGATTACCCACAGAAGTTTCCTATTTATCTCCCTGACTCTGATCTGAACCCCACCCCCACCCCCACCCCCTCCTTCTATCAAAAGACCCACCTTCCATAGTGCTGCCTATCTACCCAAAGGCTGACTTGACCTGGTCACTGAGTAAGACCCCCAAGGAGGGGCTACAGCCCAGGGATAAAATCCAAATACTTTAAACAGCCCACCAGGCCCTCCATCACAAGACCCTGCTTAATAGTCTAACAAATGCCAGAAAAGCCTTAATCTCCCACACACATCTAACACATACCATACTGGGGATTTTGTTGTTGTTTTTTCTCTCTTTACATTAGTTTCCTCTGACTGAAATGCTCCCACCACCATTCTTGGCTTAGTTGTTGCTGTTGAAGTGCCAGCAAGCGACCCATACCAACCCTATATAGAGGGTTTCCAAGGAGCTGCTGGTGAGCTTGAAACACTGACCTTGCAGTCCAACACATTAACCCACAGCACCACACCAGAACTCCAATTCTTGGCCTCAATTCATTCTTCGAAGTTCACCCTCAGCTTTTGTCTCCACTGAGACATCTTCTCCAACCAGGGAGTCTTGCCCAGTCTTCCCTCTACCTCCCCATGTCGCTGTGGTATGGCCAGCACACCAATAGAGCCTTTGGGTGCTTCATATGTGTGTGTGGCTCCCAGATGAGTAGTAAATGGTCAAGGGTGAATGGTGTGGGTAACAAAGTCATAACACACTGGAGAAGGAATGGGGCACAGAGATGGCTGGCAGACAACCCCAAAGAGAAAGAAAATCTCCAAATCATAGCTTCATCAGGGGAGGGATGTTGTTACAGTTGAGAGCCTTTGAGTCAAATCCCATAGCAACTCCATGTGACAGAATAGAAATGTACCATAGGATTTTCTATGCTGAAATATTACAGAGGGGGTCCTGGTGGGGTACTATAGGATAAACACTGGGCTGCTAAGCGTAAGGTAGGTGGCTCAGGATCCTCAGACATCCTATACAAGGTTGCTATGAGTCAAAATCTAGAAGGACACGTTCATGAACAGCAATCTTTACAGAAGCAGATTGTCACATCTTCCTCCTGCAGAACCCGAGTGGGCTCGAACTGCCAATCTTTCCATAGCAGTAGAGTACTTAACTGTTAGTGCTTCCCCCATAGTTAGCAAAGCCTGTCACAAGGCTGACCCTCATTAAATATGTGTTGAATGCTAGTGGGAAACTAGAAGCCGTAGGGGCCAGCCTGGGGCAGACAGTCTGGGATTATACTTGATCCACAGATAATCCCCCAAATCCAGAAGCCACCTGGACAGCAGTAGGCTAGACTGGGCTCCATTACCAGATGCATGTAGATCCTCATGTCGACTTCATAACAGGTATCCCAGGGATGCGAACGAGCACCTCAGAGATCAATTTATTCTAGTTATTATTGAGAGTGAGGGCAGAATCCATTTTGGGAAATTAATCCCTTCTTTTTATCTCCATTTTACACAGCAAAACACACACCAATTCACTACTTCTAAATATACAACTGAGTGATGTCGATTATATTCTTTTGAGTTGTGAAACCATTATCACCAACTTTTGGGGGGAACTTTTAATATGCAAATTTTCAAATAAAGAAAACAGTAATAAAGTACTCCCCAGATACCCATTACCCAGTAGCCCAGAATTACCAACACATTTCTGATCTCATGACGCCTATACTACCCTTATTCCCTGAAATAAACCCCAGATATCGGCTCATTTCACCAGAAAGGCTTCAGTAAGGTTCAGAATCCGCTTCTGATTTCATCTCCGCGTACTCTCCAGTTCCCTTTCGTGGCAATGCCCCCCTCAAGTTCTCCACCAACGTCCGTCCCTTAAACAGAAAGTCCGACTGTGCGGCGCCGGCCCTGCCTCCTCCGCTTCCCGCATGGCGTGGATCACCCCGGCGCGGTGGCGGTCCTGACACCCAACCCGCAGTCCGGTGATGCGCGAGTGAGTCGCTTTGCGCACCGCCACCGGCAGCCGGAGGAGGCGCTTCCACTTCCTCTTCCTCGCGCTGACTAAGGCGCTGAGCGCCCGCCCAGCGTGCCCAGTTCTTGGGTTGGGAGCCCCGCCCCGGAGGGCGTGATCACCGTTCGAAGGGGCGGAGATATACCCATATTTGGCCTTATATGGGCAGTCACGTCAGAGGTTGCAAATTCATTCACATAAAACACTGCGCCGCCGGCGGAATCCCCGGCTTCTGGAGTGGTGAGTGGCCGGGAGGGTACACAGCAGGCAGGGCGGGAAAGAAGAGTTGAGCGGCCGCTCAGGCGCGGGGCTCCGTCAGCCGGCTGCAGTACCTCGTCAGCGGGCATCCTGGCCGTGGGCACCTGCTCTGCGCGCGGCGCGGGGCCGCTGGGCGGCGGCATGAAGGTCACGTCGCTCGACGGGCGCCAGCTGCGCAAGATGCTCCGCAAGGAGGCAGCGGCGCGTTGCCTGGTGCTCGACTGCCGCCCTTACCTGGCCTTCGCCGCCTCGAGCGTGCGCGGCTCTCTCAACGTCAACCTCAACTCGGTGGTGCTGCGGCGGGCTCGCGGCGGCGCGGTGCCGGCGCGCTACTTGCTGCCGGACGAGACGGCGCGCGCGCGGCTGCTGCAGGAAGGCGGCGGCGGCGTGACGGCCGTGGTCGTGCTGGACCAGGGCAGCCGCCACTGGCAGAAGCTGCGCGACGAGAGCGCCGCCCGCGTCGTGCTCATGTCGCTGCTCGCTTGCCTGCCCGCGGGTCCGCGGGTCTACTTCCTCAAAGGTGAGCGCGGCGGGGCCGCCAGTCAGTCCCATGACCCACCCGGGCGCTGGGGTCCCCTCCCCTCTCGGGTCACCGAGAAAGTCTCCATTTGCCCCTTAACTGCACACTGGAGCTTGACGTGCGTTTCTGGAGGTCATAACAGATGTCCAAGATCGGACCTGCCTCCACCCCCACCCCTGTCCGAATTCCTCGAAAGCGCTTGTCCGCGGGGCTGGTGGGTGGCTGTGCAGCGGGGGGCGCTGCTGCTCTGAGGCTCCCAGGCCGTGGACTAGTGCTGGGCACGGGCCTTGAGCCGATCTGATAGATCTGGCGGGGGATCAGCAGGTCGCGACCCCCCAAGAGCCTGGCGCCGGGGTGTCCCCCTTCCCGCCTGGGCAATTACTGTAGGTTCCGCGGTGCCTTCACTCGACCCCTCTTGCCTTTTTGACCCCGGCGATCCCCTCCCTCTTCCTTTCCATTTCTTTTTATTGCTTTTTATTGTCTTCCTCCGGTCTTTTCTCCTCAACTCCGGGGCCTTGCTTAAACTCAATCTCTTCCCACTCTTTTCACCTCCTCCCTCCCACGCCCTGGGAACATTCCTGAGACCCGGGTCCTAAGCGGGGGAGGAGGGGGCTCCTTCCCTGTCTGCCCAGGGTGGAAGGTACAGGCGCGCCTCCTGGTTGGCAGGCTGGCTGGTGAGTCAGGGTCTGAGAGAGGAGCCTTGTGTGTGTGTTGGGGGGGGGCAGGCTGCGGGTGGTAGAGAGGATTATGGTTTGTGGCCCCAGAAGCCTGCCCATTACTCCTGCTAGGGAGATAATTTAGGCTTCCGGTGGTAGGTGGGCCGCTTCCTATGATTGCATCCCCCACGTATTTGAGCCCTTCTGACCTTAAATGTGAAACCCTAGTGGACCTGCAGGAGAAGCACTGGACTGGGAACCACAATGTAGGTGCTTCAGACCCACTAGGCACTCCTTGGAAATCCTATACAGGGTTGCTATGAGTCGGAACCAACGCGAAGGCACTTAACAGTAACATCCTTAAATGTATAAGAGACACGACTGAAATGCAAAGTGCTGAGACCTGGGGGCATACCAAGGTGCTTCTAACCCCCTTGGGATTCAGCATTGTTGGTGAGCAGCAAAAGCAGGTATGGTTCATAGCTCAGGGGCTGCTGGTAACTGGAAACCTGGGGTACTGTTTTAAAGCTGAACAACTTGGGGAATTTCATACATTCCAGGGGCACGTGGGCAGCTTCCACCTCCATTAGCACCTCTTACTGCCTATCCCTTGTTAAGTGGATCCTGTTAGGTGGATGGTAGCCGGGAAGAAAATAATATCCTCCCTACAGGTTTGGCCCCCAGGGCATGGAGCAGTGGCCTGCCTGCTCCAGGCTCGGCAAAGCTTTCACACAGGGCCCCTGGTTTCTTTCTCTTCCTGGTGTGATTTTTGCCTCCTGCTCTTAGCAGTGAGAACAGGAAAAGCGTCCACCTCCTCAGGCTGCTTGAAAGATGTGTTCCAGGAAATTCCTCCTCGTTCCTACATGTGCTCCCCACCCTCTCCAAAGGGGTCATGCTGGCAGGTTGGAAGTTAACACCACAGGAAGCAGGCAGATCTGTAGATTTGATATCAGAAAGTGTTAAGTTTAAAGTGTTTTTAAATTTTAATGGCAGTAACAACCACAGGTTTAAAAACAATGTGAACCACTATCCAGTGAAGTGGGCCTTCAACATACCTTAGACCACATTCCCTTTCATTTTTCCTGAATGTCTTTTTTAACGGGATATAATTTCATATGAGGGGGCTTCAGGAAGTTTGTGGGAAAATGGAAAAGATTATTGAATTTTCCATGAACTTTTTGAAGCCCCGCCTGTATTTCCTGTTCCTGTCTCTATCACCAGACTCTATCTTGGAGACCTTCTATATGAATATACAAGGAGTCTACATCACCTTTTTAACCAGCCCCTGGCAATGGGCATCGTCAGATCTAGTCTTAGTGTTTGAAGCAGTGTGGCAGAGGACATCCTTGTCCATATGCTCTAGCACATGCACAGTCTATCTCACTAAAATCATGAGAATTGCAGGGTCAGAGGTTATGTGTATTTCTAATTTCCCTAGACTCTGTTTGATACTGACCCTCTTAGCACTATTAAAGATTTTAATTGCTGCCAGTTTTTTGTTGTTGTTGTTGTTGTTATGTTTTTAATTTATTTCCTAATTTAGGATTTCAGTCTTTAAACTGGTAGGTGGCATCTCAGATCTTAAGGGCCAGGTTTTTTAATCTTCTTTCCATTCTTCCTCTGTCCCTTAAAGAAAAAACACTCCGATGACAGGGTGGTGACCAAATAGACTTGCCAGTGCGCATTTATATATAGCGTCCTGTCCCCACCATTGTCTCCAGTCCCCTGGTAAGGCGGTGGTGATGGAAAGCAGAATCTCTCTGAGGAGGATTGAAGCAGCAGGGCTCTTGCTTGCTACTCAAGTGAGGCACCAGAGAGGAATGTGCTGTCTCTCCACACCTCTGACGGCAGTGGGTGAAAGACAGACCATCTAATCTGTAGGACTCCTCCTGACCCCAGCTTGCCAAGGCAGGGCCCTGTTTATCTATTCCTCGGCTACACTGAGACTCCTTGTCTGTCTTCACATTTTGCCAACAGGCCGACAGGCTCCAGCCCACACTGGAGCTTTCTTTCTGCCTCCTGACAGCAAACTTTTTTTTAACATTATGTGATTTGGGTGAAAGTTTGCAGAGCAGCTTGGTTTTCCCTTCAACACTTGATACACATTTTGATTTGTGACACTGACTGCAAATCCCTGTAATGTAACAGCACTTTTCCTGTTCTTTCCTGTGTTTACTGTTTGCATTGTCTTTCTATCCCTTCCTGCCTTTTGTGCTGGATCCCTGGGCAAATGCTGCCCTTTGATCAGGTATGGTGGGTTGTTCTAGGGAGCCTTGGTAATTCTGTTCCCCTTATAGACCTGTGTGTTTGGCTGAAAGTTGAGCTACAGGGGTGGCTGCAAATGTGACAGGGTTAACTAAGGTTTAGGGTTTCTACCTGTCTCTATCAGACTACTAAGCCTGTTGTTGTTGTTGTTGTTGTTGTTATATTGAGTTTTGTCTCTATCCAGGACCCCTACCCTGATCCCTTTCAGAGTGGTCAGCAGTGGTAGCTCGGTACCATCTAGTCTGGTCTCAGGGTTGTGGAGGCTGTGTGGTTCACTTGATCCATTCGTCCTTTGGATTGTTTCCATGAGACTTAGGTTTTCTTCATTGCTGAGAATGAGGAGAAGCCAATAGCTGCACCTTAGATGGGCGTTTGGCAACCAACTCTTAAGTGGTCTATTTAGAGGCAAGGGATGGGGTGACCTAAAGACTTCACTTACCCAAGCCTCATCCTGAAGTTGAGGATGACTTGGGCCACTGTTACTTTAGATTCCACCCCAGTCACTCCGGAAACAACACCTTGGTTCTGACAAAGGGCACCTCTTCCGAGGAGGAAGCCAGTAGGTATGTGACGTCCTCCTCCCAGCCTTCAAAGAGGGAAGGGGACCAGGGGCTGTTGGGGGTTGAAGAGGCTAAGCCACACACACCACCTTCATCCTGCCTGACCTCCTGTCATCACGAGGGGGAAGACCAGAAGCTTGCTTATCCAAGAAGGAGCAGGGGGTGACTTGCTGAAGTGACCACAAGGGAGATTTGGATGTACTAAACAGGGGTGAGAGGGGGAGGCAGTTCAGAGAGCTGAGACTGAGCCATGAGGATGAGGGGAGGATGAGGCGAGATGACTCATTCTAGGAATTGCCTGCAGCTTCTGGGAGGGAGCTGGTGACTGCCCTGTAATCCATTAACCATTTTCTCACTGTGGGGGTTTAACCCAAGAAGCCAAAAGTGTTCCACTGAGGGGTTGTTACAACATCAGAAAGCAGAAGAAAACAGGATGGGGGTGCTTTGGGGAAAATACAGGGCTAGAGAGACAGGTTTTCCTTAGGGGGTGCTGAGAATTAAGTTCGAAGTCCTTTTGAAAGGTAACTAACTGTATGAATTCCTCTGAACTGGGCCTATTGAAAGGATGGTCAGCTGTGTTCTTAGCACTTGGGGGATAAGGGGCAAAGTTGTTTTATTTCCCTGAGTTTAAACCTCATATTAGCCCTCGCTTCCTTCTGAGTGGAGGCAGTTCTACTTCTAGTCCTGCGTAGATCTGAGGACCGGGGGACAGAAGACGTGGACCAGTTCAGTAATAACCAGTTTCTGCTCATAAAGGAATGAAATTATAGAATCACTTCAGCATCTTAGGTAAACAAGAGAGAAAATAAATAGCTTTTGTCTTCTGGAGGGATTTGGTTAATATGTGCCGATGTGAGGTTATTTCCTTCCACAGTTGAAGCTGCTTCTGGTAGATACAAAAAGTTAATCATTGCCTCTCTGAAACTATGGCTTTTTAGGCATACGTGTGTGAGGTTAGAGAACCTTTTCTACTCTAAAACGATTAGTTGGGTTTACTCATTTTTTTTTATGTCACCACAATCTGTATTGTTATTGTTGTTAAGCGACATTGAGTCAGATCCAACTCATAGCAGGGTTTCCGAGGAGCAGCTGGTGGGTATGAACCCCACTGACCTTGTGGTCTGCAGTCATATCAGGAGTCTGAATCTATATTCGCTTTATGTTTTTGGGTATTCCACACTCCGCCCCCAAAAAAACAAATCCACTGACACAGAGGTAGGTTCTGACTCATAGCAACTGTATATTGTTAAGTGCTGTCAAATTGGTTCCGACTCATAGCAACCCTGTAACAGGGTTTCTGAGGCTGTGAGCCTTTGCAGGAGCAGAAAACTTCATCTCTCTCCTGTGGAGTGCCTGGTGGGCTCGAACTGCTGACCTTGTGGTTTGCAGTCCAGTGCTTATCCTACAGAGCCACTGCTCTCCCAGAAACCTTATGTTATTGATACAAGAAGCACTTTGGTGGGTTTGAACTGCCAACCTTGTGGGTAGCAGTCAAATACTTATCCTATAGTACCACACCAGGACTCCAGTGGTGTGGTATACTGTAGAGTCGGTTCTGACTCATAGCAACCCTGCATAGGATTTCTAAGGCGGTAAATCTACGGGAGCGGAAAGCCTCATCTTTCTCCCACAGAAAGACTGGTAGTTTTGAACTGCTGACATTGAGATTAGCAGCCTAACTTGTAACTACTACACTACCAGAGCTCCATATAAGGTTTCTAAGGCTGTAAATCTTTATAGAAGCAGACTGCCACATCTTTCTCCTACAGAGCAGCACGTGCGTTCGAACTGCTGACCTTTTGGTTACCAGCTGAGCACTTAAACACTGCACTACAGGGGCTCCTTCATTCCCCACTTGGGGTATTGGCTAATTATGGGTATGATCTGGCAGCCTGAGAAATCAATACTTAACATCTGTTTTTGTGTGTGTAGGGGGATATGAGACCTTCTACGCTGAATATCCAGAGTGTTGCGTGGATGTAAAACCCATTTCACAAGAGGAGATTGAAACTGAGAAAGCCCTCCTCAGCCAGTGTGGGAAACCAGTAGTCAACATCAGCTACAGGCCGGCTTATGACCAGGTATTTCTCCATTCCTCTCTGGCTCTTCCTCTCCCCACTCAGCGGTGGGGGTTAGTAGTCTTTGGTGGCTCTGAGTTTGGCAGAATGCTCTAGTTTGGAGAGCGCCTCTGTCACTTGCCAACTTGAGTTTCCATCCAAGAGTAAATGGGCTTCCTTCCAGAAAACAAGCTGACAAGTGCAAACGAGCCCCAGGATGCTTGACAGCTTCTGGAGAAAAGGGATGTGAAAGATACATGAGTATTCACTGGCTTGGAAGGTTCAGAGAAGCTTCAGAATATTGCTTTAGGTTTCCCTGAAGACATTCAGAGATGCCTTTCATGCTTCCTGTGTTGATTTCTTTTGTAATTGTTCATACTCTGCAGTTTCTGCAAACCAACCCAGTATATCTGTCGAGGCATGTTTCTGGTATTTTTAACTGAAAATACCTGTTTGTTTGTTTCTTTAGTTTAACCATCCAAACATGGTGGTTCTACCTCCCTCCCCCACTGTTAATTCCATAAATTCTGAAGCAAGGGGAAATCAAGAAACACAGTAGGGTTTCATGTTTCTCAACACAAGTACATGGGTATTTTGTACTTCGTGACAGTTTGACAAACAAGTCACATGGAAAGCTCAGTGGCTAGTCAGGATTACCTAGATGATACGGGAAGATGAAGAAAAGGCAAGTGAGAACTCCAATGTGGCAGAAACCAGAAATCAAAACCAGTTTTTCCGTTTGACAGAGGGAAAAACTGTTTCATAGCTGGGGGAGCAATTGATTTGCAAGCGCCCACAGCTAGCTTTTAGCAATCCCTGGTCTAGAACTCTCTCTCAACTCCCTGATTGAGGTCTTTTCAGAACTTCAGTCTCTTTTCCACGTGACACACTTTCAGGAAAAGCATCTGACTAGGAGAAAGCTTTTCAAACTTTTCCCATAAGATGAGAAAATACCCAAATTGTAAGTAAGACTAGTTACTGCCGAAAATGCCAGCTGTCTCATGAGCAGAACTCTGCCCCTGGGGATGAACTTCCAAATAAAGCTTTGGGATCTTTTCTTGAACAGGATCCTTGGTCAGGAAGCCAATTAGCTCGGCACGGTGCCAGAGTTATTAATTTTATTGTTTTCCTTTATTAAATATATACAGTCTATGATGAATCTTGGGCTTTCAAGTAAGATTTCTGTTTTTGCTTTTGTTTTGTTTTTTGTTTGTTTGGATTGTGTTTTTCCGGTTTCTCCGAAAGTGAAAGAGAAACAAGAGTGGGTTACAAAAGAGCTCAGCAGACCTTTGGCCATGCAGGGGCTGGGGAGGCCCTGATTTGTCTTGGCAGTTCATCTGGGGAACTCCCTGGTACGACTTCTTAGAAGCACTGCCACATCGAGAGAAACTAGGCGAGGTCTCTCTCATTAACCTTTGGGGTTTCTGAGGGCCTTTTGGTGTGTGTTCCTCTTGAGCCTAAACAGGAGATACAGAAAAGGAAAAGAAACCGTTTCAGGAGTGTGTTGGGCTAAGCGCCAAAAGAGACTGGATTAGATCCGAGGCCTGATGTGTCAGCATTCTCCAGGCACTCAGGGGAGTCAACTGTCCGGTTTGATCCATTGAAGATGAGTCTATTGGTGTCACTAGTGCGGGCCCATAGCTGCTCAGTTGTGGGTCTCCTGACCCTTTTCACTGGAAGCTAACTAGTGGCTCCTGACTAGTGAAGAGCTATGCTCAGGGTTGAGGTCCAGCTCAGACCTGCTGGGAGTGAGCAGCCCTGTGCCTTCCCCAGGGAGAGAAACCATATCCTTGTGTTTCTTCTTCAGCCTTTGATGATCATGGCAGCTATATAATGTACCAGATTTTACTGCATCCACTCTCCCATTGCAACTTCACAATTATCCTGAGGATAGGTATCATTATCCCCATTTTACTGACAAAGGGTCAGAGGTTAAAGAAGCTGCCCAGGGTCACAACTGCTAGTAAGAGCGGAGCTGACATAGAGTTCTCTGTCCCAAGATCAGTTGTTAAGTGTCAGTTGGTTCTGACTCAGCCACCCTACATTGCCACACCAGGACTAAGCCCAGGTTATTTACCACACTCCCACCCAGGAAGGCTGCTTCTATATGTGGAGGTTTAGTGGAGAGGTATGTGAGGGGAGGGATACAAATAGAAATTTGATCTGTAGAAGAAGAGAGGAGGGAGGGAAAGCTTTCCTCCCTGTTTTTACTTAAAACACTTGCTTTCTTATAATGATCATCATTTTGAAATGATATTCCAAGCAATTAGATTTGGGTTTGACTCCTAGCTCTCTACCACTGACTAACTCTGACTCAGGGCAAATCCTTTAATCCAGGACATCGAACTGGTTCATTAGGTTCAATATGTATGCATAAGCATCACGTAGGGATCTTGTTAAAATGTAGATTCGGATCTAGAATATCTGTGGTAGACATGTAGATTCTCAGTAGGGGTTGAACCTAAATGAACAAATAAACGGTTTGGATTCCTAATTTAATAATCCCTCTGAGCCTCAAATTCCCTGTCTCTAAAATGGAGATAATGTTACTTACTGCTTCATAGATTTGTTGTGAAGTTGGTACTATGTAAATACATGTAAGTGGAGTCCTGGTGTGGTGCTGTAGGATAAGCACTTGACTGCTAACCACAAGGTCCACGACTAACCCACCAGCCATTCCTTGGAAACCCTATACACAGGGTTCCTATGAGTCAGAGCCGAATCAATGGCTCTTAACAAAAACACGATAACATATAAAGTGTGCAGCCATAACCCAATGCTGATGTGGATTCCGATCACAGAGACCCTATAGGACAGGTTAGAACTGCCCCGTAGGATTATAGAAGCTGACTCTCTCATGGAGCAACTGTTGGGTTAGAACTGCTGACCTTTCTGTTAACAGCCTAGTATTTCACCTCTCCTTAAGCCCAGCCATGTTTTTTTTGTTGTTGTTGTTAGCTGTCGTCAAGTTGGTTGCAACTCACAGCAACCCTGTGTCATTGCTGAGGAGCGGCTGGTGGGTTTGAACCTCCAGCCTTGCAGTTAGCAGTCAAGTGCCTGTCCTACAGGCTTAGTTGTTAAATGTCATCAAGTCAGTTCTGAGTCACAGTGACCCTGTATAGGGTTTCTGAGGAGCGACTGGTGGGTTTGAACCGACCTTGAGGTCTAGCACTTATACTACAGTGGTACATTAGGAGTCCATAGTTGTAGTAGATTTTAATAAAAATACCAGTTGTTAGTGTTATCCTTTGTAAAAGCCTCTAGAACTTTCTTCCAAGTGGCTAAGCTAGCCTTTGCATAACTACTTGTTCCTAGGAAAGAGAAAGCAAACAGCACATGTGAGGTAAAGTGAGAATTATCTGCTGCTGCCCTTTGTCACGTCCCCCTGGCTTCCCTTATTATGTGTGTCTGGCAGAGGACTCTTGAGCTTCCTCTCCACTCTTACCCCAGGAAAGGAATTGAAAACTCGGGAAAGTAGATGGCTGGAACCAGAAACACTCTCAAAGAGACAGCAACTGTCCCCAGCTCAGTGTTTTCCTCTAAAAACCCAGGGACTTCTGTCCAGCCATTATTAACCTCTCTTGCCATCTTGCTGTTGTTGTGTGTCATTGAGTGGGTTCCAACCTATAGAGTGACCCTGTATAGGTTTCCTAGGGGCGGCGGGTGAGCTTGAACTGCCAACCTTGCAGTTCAAATGGCTTTGCAGTCTGGCACATTAACCCACAGTGCCACATCAGGACTCCAAATACTAAAACTGCCAAGCCCAACTTGTTCTTTTTAATTTTGCCTCAGGATACATAGTCTTTGGCTCTCCCTTAATGTGTATCTCCTTAGCTAGAAACATGGTGTGTGGGTGGAGAAATCAGGTGTGGGTGGGTGGCCTCCTAAAAGCATCTCTCTCCAGTAACTAACCTGAGCCTCAAATGAAGGAGATCAAGAAGGTCAGGGATGGGGGAAGCCCTCTGCCTAAAAACTTCAGTTTATCTGAGAAGTCTGAGTAAACAGTGGTTATTTTCAATCCTAAGAAACATTTTTATTTTATTCTTGAAGAGGGGATTGTATTTTAACATCTGAAATCTGAATCCATTTAGGATCAACAGTGGCTTAGGAGTGATGAGTGTTTGTGTGCGTCTGAGTTGATTCCACTCATACTGATCCTGTAGGATAGAGTAGAGCTAGGCTGTCATCTTTATAGAACCACATCTCCAGGTCTTTTCTCCTGTGGAGAGGCTGGTGGGTTCAACATGCCAACCTTTCTGTTAGCAGCGGAGTGCTCAGCCATGCACCAGCAGGACTTCTTGATTGATGTGATACATCTATAAAAATGTCAGAGCAGGAAAATGTCGTCTTACAAATAAAGAAACCAAGGTGCCCTGGAGTTAAAGGACTTGTCCCTAGAGTCCTGGTGTAGCACTGTGGGTTAATGTGTTGGACTTCAGCGTCAGTTTAATCCACAAGGTCATTGGTTCAAGCTCACCAGCCATTCCTTAGAAATCCTATACAGGGTCGTTATGGGTCAGAACTAACTTGACAGCACTGCACAACAACCCCACTACCTGTCCTCCCAGGGCATCTAGAATTTCAACACAGTTTCTTAGTTCTTCCCATCTATCTTCAAACCAGAAAAGGGACAAACAGGTCAGGACTTGCTGGGTTTCCTCTCAAGCAGCAAGCTCATCCAATAGTTCTGGTGTCCTTTGCCCTTGCCTACAGGGTGGCCCTGCTGAAATCCTTCCCTTCCTCTACCTTGGAAGTGCCTACCACGCATCCAAGTGCGAGTTTCTCGCCAACCTGCACATCACGGCCCTGCTGAATGTCTCACGGCGGCCCTCTGAGGCCTGCACCACCCACCTACACTACAAGTGGATCCCGGTGGAAGACAGTCACACGGCTGACATTAGTTCCCACTTTCAAGAAGCAATAGACTTCATTGGTAAGTCCAGCCGATCCTCGCCATAATTTGGGGATTTCCCTAGGGGCATGTGTTCTTGGATTTTCATGGACTGAGGTTTTGAGGGTCGGGGGTGGGAAGCTACCTTCATCATGAAGAAGTGTCTTGTCTATAGTCACCAAGCATTAGAGCCGAGTTGGGCCACAGCCACTGAAAAGGCAGAGGAGAGGATTTATGTTGCTATTAATAGGCGTTTTAGTTTGCAAGATAAATGAATTAATATACTTTTATGGCAGTACTCACTGCCGCTTTTGTTATTGTTTCTGGCTGGGCGGGAGCAGAAAATGTATCAGCTCAGAAGGCTGCACGTGAGAGAAACGGGGTGGGGAAGAGCTTCCCTAACCATGCTCCTACGTAGGTCGGGATATTTTTAAAAGCAAACAGAAGGACTGAGAGAGACTACTTACGCACAGAGCCCCAAGAGCCGGGCAGCTTTCCACGTTTTTTGGCATACAGCTTGGGGGCAATTTGTTTTGTGTTTTCAGCTAATTTTGGATTTGAGATAGCACTTGACTCTAGTTCTAGCGCTGAGCTTTGCGCACTGGAACGTTGGCATCTTTTGCATCCTATTCTGCATTCCTGGGAGGCAGTAACCGTTCAGTTCGCATTGTGCAGGTCTGAAAGCCAAGGTGTTGGCTTCCAGCCCCTCTGCCTGGAAAGAACTCTAGACCATAGGATTCTGTGATGTCCTTCCTTTTCCCCCACCCCTTTCCCTTGAGGGCTGGGCTGACATTTTTCAGGCTCAAATTTGCTAACACCTCTCCCCAACCTTGTAGACATGCCTGCTTTTCTAGAGTCTTCTTTCTCTTTGTCTTCAACACACTAATCATTGAAAGGGAGACATGATTTCCCTGTTTTTGTTAGAAGTGGGGAGAAGGCAGGTGCTTAGCCCAGTGATAATTACTGAATACAAGTACCAATTAAAGGGCCCCCTTTCAGCCACGTGGTGGGCGCCCTCTGCTCATCACACACAATTTCTGTGACACAGGAAACCCTGATGAGAAACTTACCAGAGGCCAGAGGCAGAGCCTGGCCTCCTGTCCCCTGGGCTGAGATGTTTCCTCCCGAGTCTCTGAGAGGCCACCCAAATGATAGGTTCAGGATGGGAAACCCTGGACTTGGGTCCTAGTCCCTGGGAAGGCCTTGCCCTTCTTAGCCTGTTATTTAATTACCTAGATAGCAACTTAATGAGGTCATTAAACTCGCCCCCGTCCATTTCTCAGAACCCGCCCTCCCTGACTTGTGTGTGTGTCTGTGTTTGTGACATAACCGCCAAAACCCACAGCGTTTGAAAAGCACAGGATGCATTTTCCCACCCTCTTGCCCTGCTGATGGGAGGAGGGATGAGCATCTCCGGTGGGCCTGGACCTCTCCCACGGAAGGGTTAAGCCCCTGAGGTTTGGAGTGGGTTCCAGAAATACTGCAGTCTAGACTCTTTGCTTCCTTGGATGTAACACTGGGGCAATTAGAAGTTAAACCATAAAGGAGGCCAACAGAAGGGACAAAAGGAGACTAGAATGCACACCCTGTTGCCCTAGGCAGTTGAGGGTCCCCCTTTGGAACTACTTGGTGCTGGTGGTGTGCCATCAAGTCAATTCGAACTCATAGCAACCTTGTATAGGGTTTCCCAGGCAATAAATCTTTACAGAAGCAGAAAGCCTTGTATTTATCCCAAGGAGCAACTGGTAGATTTGAACTGCAGACCTTGTAGTTAGCAGCTGAGTGTGTAAGCACTATGCCATCAGGGTTCCTTTTGAACTACTTATAAGGACTTTTTTTTTATTTTTCTTGAG